TACTACATATACAAAAGTTGATGTTTGAACCCCTAATCACTTATTTATATGACTAGAGCTTTTACCACTTGCTAACCATTTTGAATACATAAGAAAAATATGCTCATATTTAATGTTTTAAAACAAAAAACCCTAAATAATAAGAGAGGGACATAAAAAATTGTTCTTATGTATTGCAATACGGCAGTTGAAGTAAGAATTTAATAATTTTCATATTTCAATAAAGGATAGAGATAAATGTAAAAGTGAAGAGAGGGAGATTTGTATATTTTTCAATTTACTGCAAAATGGAACTTGATGTGATAATATTTTCATTAAAGGTATTCATATTTTAATCTTTTAAAAGAGAAAATTTAAAAAAGTGAAGAAAAGAAGTGTTTTTTTATTTTGGATATGGAACTTGAAGTGATAATATTTTATCATCATATAATTTAATCATTCAGAAGAAAAAATCTGTAAAAAAATAGAAGACGAGGCTTAATTTTTTTTGGGGGGGGGGGGAAGGCATTTCAATCAGGACTCATGAAAGATTAGACGATTAAAAAATTGCTATTCATGTTTCTGCTCGTAGCATTGTTGACGCTCATCATCCTCCTTTTATATATATAAGAATATTTTTATTAATAACTTTTTTTTAATCCATGTTATTCAAGTGAAAGTATCTTGTAAAATTAAAGTTAGGACAATTTTGCCTAAACTTTTAAGGAGTTTATTTTAAACCCTAAATAATTAAAGTGGGGACAATTTTGCCTTCACTGTTAAATTTATGAAACATCTGTTATTTTTTTAAAAAATTCCACTCTTCCTCTTTGTCCTACCATCATTTGAGAAAAATCGCACACTGGCCCCATTCTAACAAATGTATGTTTAAATTTAACAGTGAGGTTAAATTTTATTTCTTTAAATTTTAAAATGTACCCTCTTTGTCCTACCATCATTTGAGGAAAGTTACACATTGGACCTCATTTTGACAAATGCATATTTAAATTTAACGGTGAGGGCAACTTTAATTGTTTAAAGTTTCAAAATATTTTTTAAAAGTTTAGGGTTCAAATCACCTTTAAACCTATAATTAAATGTTTAAATTGCATATTAACCCAAAATAAAAATCCATGAATGATAGGAGAGGGATATAAAAAGTTGTTCTTATATGTTGCAATATGGCACTCTTGAAGTACGAATTTAATTACTTTCATATTTCAATCATTTAAAAGAGAAATTGTAAAAGTGAAGGGAGGGACATTTGTATACTTTTTTTATTTATTGAAATATGGAACTTGAGGTGATAACCTTTTCTTTTAAATATATGCATATTTTAATATTTTAAAAAAGAAAATTGAAAAATTGAAGGAAAGAAATGATTTTTAGTTTCGATATGGAACTTGATGTGATAATATTTTATAATTATATGACTTAAACGTTCAGAAGAAAAACTAAAAAAATTAGAAGAGGAAGTTTAAAGTTGAGGACGGGGAAGATTATAAGGCATTTTAATTAGGACCCATAAAAGATTAGAAGATAAAAATTTATTATTTATGGCTCTGTTCATAGCATTGTTAACTTTCATCATTTTCTTTACATACATACATACATACATACATATAAGAATATTTTAACCACATTTTTTAATATTTGTTATTGGATAAGTATCTTGTAAAATATTTACTTCAAATAGATATACACACACGCATTCATGACTCATTTCCATGAACATTCATGGTATTATTCAAAAAGAAAAACCAAAAATGTGAGAAGAGGAATGTCTTGGTGGGAATAATTTAAGAAATTTTAATTGGTACTCAAAGAAAGACAAAAGATGTAAATTTGCTATCCATGCATGGCATTATGATTCATAACAATCTAGATAAGCATTGCAATAAATGATAAGAGAGGGATATAAAAACAAAATTATGTTCATATTTTAATCTTTAAAAACAAAACTATAAATGATAAGAGAGGGATATAAAAAGTTGTTCTTATATATTGCAATATGTCACTTAACGAAAGAATTTAATTATTTTCATATTTCAATCATTTATATAAAATAGAGAAGTGTAAAAGTGAAGAGTGGGAACAGATTTGTATACTTTTTGAAAAAAAATTGAAAAAGTGAAGGAAAGATGTGTTTTTTTAGTCCCGATATGATAATATTTTATAATGCCATAATTTAATCATCCAGAAGAAAAAATAAACTGAAAAATGTTAGAAGAGGAAAGTTTAATTGGGAGGGGGGGGATAAGGCATTTCAATATAATTAGTAGCCATAAAAGATTAGAATATAAAAATTTACTATTCATGGTTCTATTCATAGTACTGTTGACGTTCATCCTCCTCCTTTTATAAGGAATTTCAATGTAATTAGGACATATAAAAGATCAGAAGACAAAAATTTACCATTCATGGTCCTTTTCATAGTATTATTGACGACGTTTATCCTTCTTTTATAGAAATATTAAATAAATATCAATATATTGTGCAAAATTTTAATATATGTATCATCATTCAACTATTATTTTTGTGCAAATATATTATATAATTAAAATATTAAAACTTGTCATTTTCATTTAGTTACCATTATCTAATTTATTTATAATCTAATCTATTTATAATACAATATGTAAATACATGCATTAAAGCTTTTATTGGTTACTTTTTCTTTTTAATTTAAAGGCTAAAGTTAATTATAGTACTTGTTGATATAAGAAATAGTGTGAATAATAAGGATGTTCATAGGATGGGACTGGGGCAACCTTAACCCATGTCCAACCTTAAAAATGGATGAAGATTGAATATTTTATCTTTTATCTTGTCACATTCTAGAGTCATCCTATCCCTGTTTACGATCTTAAAGTAGAATATGAAAATCTTACCCCCCCAAAAAAAATTATCATGATGAATTTTTAAGACAAATTGGAAACACTCTAAGCATAGTCAATTTGTTTTGCTATGCATATAATTTATGTTAACACATCCTACAAATCAACAAGCTTTTTATCAACTAAATCGACCACATTGCTTGTGCTTTATCATTCATACCATCCATATATTTTAATTTAATATTTTATAAATTATCGCTGCCAAAAGTCACTACCAAAAATATAATTTTGGCTACAACAATTAAATGTCATTGCCAAAAGGGGGCTTTTGGTGGCGATCATGATATATCATCAGTAAAAGTCTATTTCTGGCAGTGATAAATAGTATTTTTATAAAAAATAACTTATATAATTCACTTTTAGCGGAGACATTTATTATCACCCAAAATATTTTTATAAAAAGATAATTTATATAATTTACTTTTGGTAGTGACATTTGTTGCTACCAAAATTATTTTTAAAAAATTAAATATAATTTTAAATTATATTAAATAATTTTTAAAATTATAATTTAAATTTTTAAAAAAATTTATGATTTTTTTTTAAAAATTGAAATTAAATAGAATCATTCAAAATATATTTATGAATTTAAATTTTTTATTTTATGTATAGAATTAGAAATAAATGATATATAAGATCGTAAAATAAAAAAATAATAGTCAAGATATGCTAAGTTTAATAATTAAATTATTTCCAATTTTGCATTATTCATAAGCTTTTTTTAGACATATATTACTCATATTTTTTTTAAGAATTATGTTATTAAGCTAGTATTTTAATATGATAAATTAAAATCTTGATGGGTTATTACTTTCAATTATAATTAGGTTAAGTTATACATAAATTATCACTTACATACAAATACATAAATGGCATTGGGATGTTAAAATTATACAAATATCGTGAAATGAAAATAATATTGTAGATCTTCTACTAAGCTCTAATGGCTTTTGGACAAGAATTTCATGTAATTCCTCCTAGTATATTTAGGTTTTCATTGTTATAAAAAGGAAGTTACTAATAACATTTTTATTACTAATTATTACTAGGAATAATTTGAATAACTATTCAAATTCATCTTGCTATGAGGTTGAGAATGATTAGATGTTAACTAGATTAATCACATATGATATTCTTGTAATTATCATATATTGTAAAAGTTATTAGTATTCATTTTTAAAATTATTCAAAATGACTATTAATAAAATTTGTGGTTAAAGTTAATTTTTTATTAAAAATAATTTTTTAAGATATTGAAAAATTATCAATAAAATTTATTTTTAATAAAAGAGGGGGAAATATTTAGTTGTTTTTAGAGAACATAAAAATTTAATCATTTAATTTATCAATTTTTGAGAAAAATATGGAGAAAAAAAGTATAAGATAAATAAAATAATATAATATATTGCATATTTATAAATAAATTATATGCTCAATAATTTTCATTTTAAAAATAAAAATAAAATTTAAAATTGGTTACACTGTATGTGTATTATTTAATATTTAAAAATTTTGAGTTCACTTTCCTAACAAAAATAATATTTACTAGTAAAAAATATTCTATTAAAATTATAATTTAAATATTCATATAAATTATTTTGTCATTTTAATAATTGAAAATAAAATATAATATATGTATATTTTTTAATAATATATTATTTCATATATGCGTAAGTAGTTTATAACATATATTTAAATTCACATATGATAATTGCAGATGCATTTTAGTTTAATTGACAAAGAAGGGAGGTTTAAGGCTTGGAGGTAGGAGAGGTCAGGGGTTTAAACCTTAACTTTATCATATTTTGCAACAAATAAATGACATGGTGTGTGGTGGTGATGTGACGAGACACATAGGAGGTATGTGACGTGAGCCGTGGCAGTGATGTGGCACATGAGGTGACTTGAGGATGCACACACATAACTAGTGATGTGGCATGAGATGGTGGCATAGCGCATGAGATAGCTTGAGGATGCACACAAGTGACAGGTGACTTGGCATGAGATAGTGGCGTAGCACATGAGGTGACTTGAGGAGGTGCACACGTGGTGTGTCACATAGCATGAGCTGACAGGGTGATGTGGCACCATCTGTCGAATGTGTGGCCTGTGACATGACACAAGATGACAAGTGACGTAGTATTATCTGTTGCATATATGGTAGGTGATGTGATATCACGTGAAGTACATGTGATAAAGTGATGTGGCATAAAATAAATTATTATTTTTTTAAAAAAAGTTTTGGCGGCAACAAATATTATCGTTAAAAGTCTTTTTAGCAGCGACATTTGTTGCTACTAAAAAATACTTTTAGCAACTAAAGATCTTTATATTGTTGCTAAAAGTTATTGTTGTCGTCCAAAACTATTAATAACTTTTTAGTGGCAAAAATTTTTAGTGGTAGCTTTTGAACTTTTGACAGCGACAAAAGTTTATTTTTTTATAGTGTGAGGATCATCAAGTCAAGACTCTCATTTTTGCTAAAGGATACCTAAATGCATGTGGCTGTCTCAAAGATGATCAAGATGATGACGTGGAGTCAGGGATAAAGAAGTTTCAAGAACTCTATAGGCTCAATGTTTCTGGAAAACTTGACCTTGCAACGATCAAGGCAATAAAACTCCCAAGTTGTGGCGTGCCAGATCTCATCACATGTCTAGTGCAGAAAGCCTTTTCAATGATTCAAAGTATGCCTTCTTCCAAGGAAATCCTACATGACCTCCTTCTAGGAGAAGCCTCACTTACAGATTCGACACTAGCAACAACGTTTGTGCCAATAGATGATTTGAGACAAGCTTTTCTTCAGGCATTAGGTGGATGGACCCAGGTCACGAATTCGAAATTCACATTCACTGAGGTTGTTACAGGAAAATCCGACATTGCGATTGGTTTTTATAGTCGTGATCAGGGCGTTAACAGTCCGTTTGATGGCCGAGGTGGTGTTTATGCACTTGCTGCTGCACCGACCGAGGGAAGGATGCATCTGGATGCAGATGAGTCGTGGAGCGTTGCCATTCCGACGCCGGCCGACGGTGTGGATTTGGTGTCGATGGCTTTGCATGAAGCAGGACACCTTCTGGGACTTGAACATGGTCAAGATCCAAATGCAGTGATGTATGCGTTTTTAGGCATAGGAGAAAATAAGAGGATTTTGGGTCCTGATGATATTGCAGGCATACAAGCCCGATGCCCTAATTAAGGAAGTCTTTGGAACAATGTAGAATATATAATTTGTGATGAAGGAATAAAATAAGGTGAAATATTTATGGTTCGTGAAAGTATCAGCAACTCAACCCTGCTGCTTAGGTTGTGGGAAATTATGTTGTAAGGACAAATATTATATCAAGCATGATTGTGGATGTTATGGCTCTTATTAACCCTAATAATGTTTACTCTAGGTTCTATAAAAAGTCATGTTTATTTTAGTGATTTATTTATCTTCATTTTTTTTCAAAAAGCAAGTATATCATGGGAATAATATTAGATTTTATTGAAGTAAAATATGGCATTGTTCATAGCATTATTGTAGGTGAACCATGCCAATAATCTCCCTTTTATCTATAAAAAGATTTTCATTACCTTTACTTCTCCATGTGATGCGGTTAAAAGTCTTCTAAAATTATTTCTTTCCAATAGATTGATAGATAGAGAGGCATGACTCATTGCAATGACCATTCGTATAATTTACTAATCAACCTTATCAGCGTATATATGGTAATTTGGTAACTATAATATTTCATTAATTCAAGAATTAAAAGGCAAAAGTACCTAGCAATTTTTTTCTCTAGGAGCACCAAGTATCCTTAAATGAACAAAGATGTAAGAATACAAATGAATTTGTTATAATTAGTATAACAATCTACATTCCATTAAATTTGACTAATTCCATTAATGTTAACTGATAAAAAAGAAAATAAAAGAAAATAAAAGAAATAAAAGGTATAGAAATACTCATAAACTTCGGGTAGTTTTACATCAACAATGGTACAAGGGTACCCATTAATTTTACAAAAGATGCCATATCCAAATTGTTAAATATATTTTTATTTTTTATTTTTTAGGCAATTTTAATTTTTATAAGTTTTGCAATTTTTATCCAATTTTAATTTAATTTTATTAATAATAAAAAAGAATTTGTGTCTGGCTACACTTATTTGGGTTTGGGCTTTGCTTGAATTTCTTCAAGCTTATTAGATCGGCTTGAATAAGCTTGAAATACTTGAAATTTTCTAAACTATAAAGTATGGTCCTTCATACTTATTTGCCAATCAGACATGATCCAAATTATTGACTCTAACATTTCTCAATCCGTTAAAATAACTTGACATTAATTGTAAAGTTATAAGAATATAAGTTTATTCATTGGAAAAAGTTGGGCTATTTTATAAAATCAATAGGTTTCTATGCACCATATATATTGTTGTCTTTAGGATACCAAAAGCTCCTGTTGGAGAAAAAATTTTATGGATTTTTTGCACTTTATATTTTCTTTTTTTTAACAGTCAAAGTTAATAGAAGTTAGTCAAATTTAATGGAATGGGATTGTTGCACTCATTATATCAAGTTCATATGTATTCTTGCACCTTTGTTTTATTTAAAGATGCTGGGTGTTCTTGGAGAAAAAGTTGTTGGATATTTTTTTGCCTTTAACCCTTGACTCGAAAGCTTTCTTAATTAGGATATAATGATTTTATGTATACTTGCAATGTCATCAGAACCCTAAATACTGTGGTGGAATCAAAAAATTTTATTAGGAGGGCTGAGATGACAAAGCATATGTGATAATTGAAAAGAAAATTAAATATATATATGTTACTAACATAACAGAAATATTTTAATATATATATTTATATTCAATTATATATATAACAAAAATAAATATATACTTTTATTTTTTGTAAGTTTTGCTCATCAATTTTCACGGCATAAACATAATTAATTATTATGTCTACAATAAAATTTTTAGTAATCTCCTTCTCAATATAAACAATCATAAATTGGAAAAGGTTTTATCTTTCCAATGAGTATTGAATAATTTAATGCATTTTTGATATCTAAAGTTCAATCTAAAAAATTCTATTACTTGCTTTACTAAATTTATTATTTAATTCTTTCAATTGATAATCATAATAAATAAATATATCAACATAGTAATGATGTTTAATTCTCACAAATTTTTTAAGCCAATGAGATCTAAGTATATCATGGTAAAAACCATTCATGTGATAAATTTCAATAGCTTGGTCATTACAAAAATTAATTTTTTTTAAAAATATATCTTAACCATAACATCTTAACTTTTGGATAAGTGATTTCATAATAAATATTAAGTACATAGCATTTAATATATCTTAGAATTTTTGTTGTAGTATTTGACGAAGTTTGTTAGTAATAATTCTCATAATTTCTTATGTCAAATATAAAATGAAAGAAAAATTAAATGATATTAATGCTTCATAAGTAACTATAACATTATCTTATTAAAAATAAATAGATCCTATGACAACTATATCTTTAAACTACTAAAACAATTGAATTATACTTGCTTAAAAGACTATTATATAATTGAAATAAAAATTCTATCTAGTGTCTCAGGGCTTTTATAATGTGCCAACATAGGAGATCAAAAATATATAACTTACACATTTTACTAAGAAAAAATTATAAGGTTAGATGGGGCCATTGCCATGCTGGTCCCTTATCTCCACCCTTGCCTAAATTCTCTTACTTTTTTCAGTATACGGATAAATCACTGCATTCGGATCTTCATACTGTGTTGATGTCCCAGAAAGGCCCTGTTTCATGCATGCCTAAAGTTTGTACAAGTTTTTCATTGTGTTCTTAGAGGTTTAGACACACTTATCATTGCTTACCTTTGTATACATATTTGCATAATAAGTCTAATATATCATACTCTACACATATGCAAAGCCTTTACATGCTTCACAAATGAATCTTTAGCTATGGGTTTCATAAGAGGATCAGCTAATTTATGATGGCCGTGCAATTTAGTTGTGATATTTTCAATTTCTAGGATACAATAATCATGAAGCAATCTGTTTTTAGAAAATAATTTTCAGGATAGTTGTATGAATATTTTTAGAATAATCATATTAAGCAGCCAAAAACAATTTTCCCAGGATGTTTGCAATTTATATTCAAAAAATAAAATTAATATGATTTTTCAATAGATATTTGCAATTTAATAATTAATTTTAAATTTATTAAAATTTAAATTTGGATCCAATCTTATTAAAATTTATTTTAAAAATTATTGATGTTATTTAAAATCAATGAAATTGATCTTTAAGTGTTGATTATTATTTTTTGGTTGTTGCAAATTGTAAGAGAAAGCAATAAAATTCATGTTTCAGGATATTTGCATTATATTCAAAAATAAAAAATAAAAAATTATTAAATTTAATTTAAATTTCGGTCAAATCTTATTAATTTTCATTAAATTAAGAATTATTGATGAAAATTTAAAATCAATTAATGCATGCATTATGGGTTGGTTATTTTTGGGAAATTGCAAATTGAAGGAGAAACTAATGGAAGAAGAAAGCAAACGGTGTGCCTGGAGCTTGATATTCTCGAAGCAATCATCAAGATAGATTGATTTTAAACACACGCAATCATGCCTCGTTGCAATCAACATTGGTATAATTAAATCAACCTCTCGAACCACAAAATAAAAAATATTGTTCCATTCCTAATTGATGAGGTAAAAGTTATTACATAGTACGTTGGTAACTTTGGTGTATATATAAACCTCTAAGCACATAGAAAAACCAGCAAAATCTATTCATCTAGTTCTATTTTTTTCCCTATACGTTCAAATCTTTTCTTTGGCACCTATTATTACCACACAAAATTTTCTCTTTAGGATTTTCCTCCTCATCTTTCTTTCTGTCCAATTTCAAACCTTCAAGGTTCAACCTCAAAGCTTGAAACCACATGAGGATCATCAAGTCAAGAGTCTTGTTTTTGCTAAAAGATACCTACATGCATATGGCTATCTCAACGATGATCAAGATGATGACGTGGAGTTAGGAATAAGGAAGTTTCAAGAATTCTATAGACTAAATGTTTCTGGAAAACTTGACCTTGAAACGATCAAGGCAATGGCACGTCCAAGATGTGGCGTACCAGATCATCATCATGTGTCAAGTACAAGCCTTGTCAATGATTCAAAGTATGCCTTTTTCCAAGGAAATCCTACATGGCCTCCTTCTAAGAGAAGCCTCACTTACAGCATCGACACTACCAACAACGTTGTATCAATAGATGATTTGAGACAAGCTTTTATTCGGGCATTCGGGCAATGGACCATTGTCACGGATTCGAAATTCACGTTCAAAGAGGTTCCTATTGGATCCGACATTGTGATCGGATTTTATAGTCGTGATCATGGTGATAACAATCCATTTGATGGCCGAGGTGGTGTTCTTGCACATGCTTTTGCACCGACGGACGGAAGGATGCACCTTGACGCAGATGAGCCATGGAGCGTTGCGGTTCCGACGCCGGCCGGCAGTGTCGATTTGGTGTCGGTGGGTGTGCATGAAGCAGGACACCATCTGGGACTTCATCATAGTCAAGATCCAAATGCAGTGATGCATGCGTTTTTAGGCATAGGAGAAAATAAGAGGATTTTGAATCTTGATGATATTGCAGGCATACAAGCCCCATACCCTAATTAAGGAAGTCTTTGGATAGGAGAATATATGATTTGTGACAAAGGGATAGAATATTATCAAGTATAACTGCAGTTGTTATGGTTCTTAATAACGTACGTGTTTATTTTGATGATTTATTTTTATCTTTATTTTGTTTCAAAAAAGCAAGTGTATCGCGGGAATAATTCAGATTTTATTGAAGTAAAATATATCATTGTTCATAGCAATGTAGGTGAGCAATGTCAATAATTAATCACCCTTTTATATATATATATATATATATAAAGATTTTTGATTGCATTTCCTAATCCGTGGGGTCCGGTTAACTGTGTCTTGTAAAAGTGCTTACTTCCAAATTCCAATAGATTGATACATAAAGAGGCATGACTCATGGCAATGAACATTCTCATATATATAAATAAATCATTGGCTTCTACATAGTCAATTTATAACATATAAAAAAAAAATCTATTTTAATAAATATAAAATAAAATCATACAATAAATGTTTTAACTTTGGAAAGCCTTGAGATCTTATCACCACCCTGTTAAGTACCATGATGAGACCGGAAGATGAACCCACATAATGCTGGACAGCGTGATTTCAGAAGGAAGATGACAGTTATGGACTCAATTCAACGGGTTGGGGAAGGGGATTGACGCGAGGAATATGCAAGAAGGCAAGAGAGGATTTGATTAGTATTATAGTAAGCATATATCGTGCAGGACATTTAATGAGAAGTTTAATGAGGAGAAAAATACGAATGGGATTGAATCAAATATTAGCTGGTTTAATGATTTATTTATGTTTATTTTGTTTCTAAAAGAAAGTACATCGTGGGAATAACTCAGATTTTATTGAAATAATTAAATATGGCATTGTTCACAGAATTATGAACAATGACGGTGGTCCTCCTTCTATATATAAAAAGATTTCGACCACCTTTCCAAATCCATGTAGGAACGCAACAGAACCAGGGTCAATTTTAAGGGGGGCCAAAAATTTTTAATAGAAAATAAATAATTATATAATATATGAAAAAAATTAAGAATGGGCAAAGTAAAATAATATATTCCTTTATAAAATATTTTTTTAAAAAATTAATCTTTTAATCTTTTAAATTTTAATTTAATTATAACTTAGTCCCTCAATTTTTGTTAGTTCTCTTTTTTTTATGTTAACTTAAATCCCACATCAAAGAGAAAGTGAAGGGTATTTTATTAGAGCAAGATATGAGCATATTTCTTTTATTTTTCTCATTTGATAAGGATAATTATTTTAAAAAAAATTAAAAAATAAGGACCAAATTATAAATGAGTCAAAAGTTGAGGGACTAATTATAATGAATCATAGTTGAAGGAGTAAGTTATAGGTGAATTAAAAGTTGAAGTATTAAAAATTAATTTTCTCTTATTTTAAACATGTTTCACTAAAATTCATAAAAATTTTAAAATTTATTAACTTTATATAAAGATTTAAAAAGTTTTAAATTTTCACCTCGTCAAATACTTCCTTCAGTCTTTTATTTTCTCTCATTTAATATTGATTCAAAATATAAGCAATTTAATACATGTAAAGAAAATTTTCTATTTCACCCCTTATATTTATTAATCCATATCCTTGTGTAAATATATCTTTCACTCATGATGAAGTGCATTAGTAATTGGGACTAGGGGTAATAAAATATATATATATTTTTGTGTAAATAAGGATTTTATCAGTATGTAAATTTTTTTTAAAAACTACTTATATTTTGAATTAGGGGTAGTGTACATCTTTTAATAACCTTTTTTTGGGAAAAATTATACTAAGATCCCACAGGAATTTTAATTATAAAAAAATCTCACAAAATTTTAAAATAATTCTCAAGTCTCATGGCTTCAATAGTAATTAAATTTTGATATTCAGTTACCAAATAAAATAATGTTATTAAAAAACAAAAGAATCAATTACCATTAAATGAGGTCACTTTAACGACGCCATAGACATTGGATATTTTCCTCCCGCCGCCGTGAATCCTGTGCTGCCCGGAACTGGCAAGCGCCATTTCCACTTCCATCCTCTCCGCCATCGCCGGAGATTATCCTTCCAGAACCATCGTAAGAGGAAACTTTACAACCACTAATATTCTTTCCCTCGCCATTTAACGCTCCTCCTTTCAAAATCTGACTCTGTTTTAGTTTCTTTTTCTTTCTTTATCATTAATCCTTCTTCCATCCTTGGTGAAAGTTGCCACTCATGGTATTAAGGTCACTAACGTCTCTCCTTCTCATCGATTAGTCGCATACATCGCCACTTGTCTCTAATCAATACTTGCCTTTGATTCATAGAGAATTCGTCAAGAGCCACATCAAGATAAGGAGAGGAGAAGTTCTCGATTTCGGTCTCTGTTGGGTATTTATCAACGTACCTGTAAGTGTTGAGTGTTGCTCCAGTTAACCCAAATTTTGCCATTAGGAAGCAACTGAAGTTGAGTGATGCATTCTGGCAATGGAGGTACGTGCCATAACCTTAAATCCCTCACCCTCAGGCTTTGTTCGGTTTGTAAAGCATCGGCGCCGAATTGGGAGTGGCGACACCCCACCATACCATTTTGAGCACCGTTGATGAACAAGAGCTGTTCATTGGGTAGATGATAAGGGCATTTTTTATAGATAAATATGCATATAAATTTTGGACTATGTTTGATTTTATTTATTAATATTTTATCATTATTTACCTAATTTATATATATATATTTTTTCTTATCACTTAATTATAAGATAAAAAAAATTTTAACACAAAATTTACTCATCTTCTTGTTTTTATATTGTGAAGAAATAAATAGTAAATCACTTAAATAAAATAAAGAACAGAAGACAACTAGGACAATCAAATATCATATATTAAAGAATTAAATAAGAGTTGGGCATGATCTTGATGGATTCTGAGCTTAAGGATGATGATTTAATTATAAATAAACCACCCGAGAGCCTCTCAACATATCCAATCTTATATCTAAAGACTAGAAGGCATATTATGGCGTCTGGAAGAGTGTTCCAAGCTAGGAGCCTTCTCTCCTCTTTTCTTCTTTAAATTCTTTTTATATCTTTTATTTAGATTGTAGTTTTGACTTTATGAGTTCTTGCTAAACTTCTAATTAGGATAGAGAGTAGTCTGATTGGATGGATTATATTTTATTCTTTATTTGATTATTTTTTTTTCTCATTAAATATTGAATTTTATCTATGAAATTTATGTTCACTTTTATATTTATCTCCCTTATTTTAATTACTTTTCATATAGACGGTTGCTATATAGATTGTTTGTGGGTAGTTTCGTGAATTGAAATGTAAAAAACATACCTAGACCTAGAGATATAGACACATTTAACTAGATTAGGAATAATTTAAAAGTTTGTAGTAGCTTAGATTGTACCTTTATGGTTTAGTTAGAGAGTAGAATTTAATGAAAGTTAAATGAAAGTTAAATTTAACTTTAATTAAATATATTATAATATATTAAAAAGTGATTAGAATACATTAATAACGGTTGTCACTAACTTGCCAAACATATAACAATGCCACAGAAAGTCTTGGTAGTGCAAAGACAGCTGACAAAATGATGCATATTTTCGAGAAGTTAGCTAAGAATTCTCGACAAAAAGGAGACAGTGGTCAAAAGATGCTGACACATGAAGTAGGCACAAGACCTATTACTACTATGACACCTTCTTAGTTTGATGAATTAAATAGGAACCTTTGTAACCTTATCTCTAGCATTCCTTTTGTCACATCTACTGCACCAATGAATGCTGTTAATTATGATCCTTGTTCTTTGAAGGAGAATTATAATGATTTGGTTTGAAGAGGCTTACTACATGGGAATTAATCAAAATCAGCCTTGAAATTAGGGTTGGAAGGATAACCCTAACTTCTAGTTGAAGATTAGAGAGGACATTAAGCTAATTGAATTCAATCAACAACAAGAGCACCTATTTTGTAATAACCCAAGAAAAAATATAATAATTTAATATGTTATTGTAGCATTTTAATTATAGTTATATTAATTCTTAGGACAATTATAATAAGAAGAGAAGTTAGTGTAGTGGAACTGTGTAAATAACCCATACATTTAAGTACAAGCTTCGAGTCTATAGAAGCACAAATGGAGGGGGTCTATTTTTCTTGTGATTTAAGCTTTATGAAATTACCATTCTACCCTCTCCCTCATCAAATGAAATTTCTCCTTTCTCTTCCTTATTCAGTCGGCGTGTAGAGAGAGAGAGAGAGAGAGAGAGAGAGAGAGAGAGATCTAGAGCCTTCAGTTTTGCTCTCTATCCTTCTGCCATCACCGATCCTTTTCTCTCCCTTCTTCATTTCTTGTTGTCACCGATGTTAGAGGAGACTCGTCACTGCTTAGCGATGTCTAGGTGCACCTTTATATCTTCTAACTCTGTTTTTCTTCTTTTCCGTCTATTGCTGCTCTCCCGTGTCATTTACGTTCGAGAGGTTGCAGGAATGAGAGACCAAGTTGTCAGAGCTGCAGTGGTGCTATTGTGATCTTAGGTTGTTGCTGTTGATTCGGTTGCTTTTCTTTCTTATGAGTAGCATCCATTTTTCCTATCCCCTGTTCAGCTAAGAGTTTCATTTTTTCTTCTTCCCATAACGTGTGGCAGCATTGGGCCCTCTCCTTTGTTCAGTATTCAAGAACCTCCTTGATAGGGACGCGGAAGCAGAATCGTGCTAGTTTAGGGACAGAACCCTGAAACAACAAAAACACAAGAACAAAAAGAAAGGGACGAAATTTATGACGGAAATAAAGAAAGGTATGAAGTAAACAATAGGATAATGATCAAGGAGAAGATCCTCTAGAGCACCTGCCTCTAGGAACCTCAACCTTCGAAGACACCACAAGAGTTGATCATGCTCTTGATCACGTCGATTTCTCACACGGGATACCACCACAAAGCACTAAGGCTCACAAGAGTTATAAACTCTAAAATGAATAATTTCATTCAACTTCTCTGTTTACAATAGGGAGCA